CAGTCAAGTTGAGAAAGCCAAGGATCGAGCTCGCGGGACGAACAATTCGAGAAACCAGCTTCGGCGAGTCGGATGAGCGATCTCTCGGTGGCTTCCGATCGGTCGCCACTTGCTATCAGCTCAGCGAGGGCTGGGTCATTGGATGTAAGCCGACCAGACTTCAAGTGGGGTAGGCAATTCTTGGGAGTGAGTATGTTGGTTACTTTGCTCTTCGCGGAGGGTGGTGGGAGTGGGATGATATGTCCGTCAGCAATCGTGTGCCATCCATGTTCTGATAAATAGGCGACGGGTGCGCCGTCAAACGCAAGATTAAGCACAAAAGGGACAATGGTCTTGAGCGTGCTGGGTTTGAATGGGTTTGAACGTAGCGTTTCGAGCCATTTTGGAGGTTGCACCTTAGGTTCATCCTTTTCGCTCGGCCCAGCGCACTGAGCAGACGATGAATACTGAATCGGGGTTGGGTAACTAGTCTACGTACCTCTTCGCGAACGATACCACGCGATTCTTTCGCGACCTTGGGGCTCCAATCCAGCTGTTCCAACCAGACGTCCCCTTTCCACTTGTCATCAGCCATAAGCCCCTTCGCCTCCTGCGCGAGTTGCACCAGCCGTCCTCTGACACTTTCCTCCAGTTCCTTGTAGACTTTCTCAGCGTTCTCGATGTACTTCTCCCATGATTCGTTTACCGTCAAGAAGCTGGATCCCATTGTCAAGATGCCAGCAAAGGACACGGGACTGGGACATGCTCTCAGGAAGTCCGGGAGGACACGCGAGAACACAGCGTGAGTGACATAGACGTCCTCGCCACAGTAGTTAAGGTAGTCCTGCGCGTTTTCCAGGATTTCTTCGCGAGAAAGGGTCATGAAGTCGTTCCTGATCTCCTTGTTCATATCAATGTCGCAGTGGAGCCTGGCCACGTCCGCGAGCGAATTTCCAGATGTGAGGTCTTCCCAACTTTTCACTTCATCGACATCAGCTTCGTCCGATTGTAACTGGGGTAGACTCTCCTCCAAGTCTGAGCGAAGCTTTCGTAACCTTTCCCTCTTCGTTTCGTCCACCTCTTCCAGGTTTTCACTCTCCTGAAGAAGATTCTCCACCGCCTCCACCGCCTCCACACGTCGTTCCTCCTCTTTCTCTTTCGTCTTCCGGTGCTTCTTCCACGCGGGTCGTTGATGAGACGAGATGCCCTTGACAGCAATGTGAAGGGCCATGGTATCGAGAAATCGTGATTTAGTGCCATCGAGAAGGTACTCTTCGGCGATGCGACCTCGGTCGTATGAAACGTTGTGACCGACGACGACGCGATGCATACTAGGGTCTCCAAACGGGATAAGGTGCTCCGGGTTTTCAGACTCGCCAAGTAACCAAGGGGATACCCAAGCATACCAGGCATCTTTGGAGACAGCACAAGCCATAATGGGATAGGGATGATAGCGAGGCAAAGTTTCGATGTCGAATGAAAGAGCTGGGTCATCTGGATGATCTATGGGGATATGGTAACTCGAACCGTCGTCTTGGTAGACATACTTTGTCCAACCAGATTGTAGATTCCAGTGTTCGGGTTTTGGAGGGAGAGAGGCGGAGGAGAAATCGCGGGCAATCTCTAACCAAGGTTGGGAAGCCGCAGCACCGAGTCTGTGAAAATGTTCGTCAAGGTTCTTGCCTTGGAGAGGGGGGAGGGTGAAAGAGATGTTCTGCAGAACGGAGCCATGGCTAGGATCGAGATTGTGTGCACTGAGGTGGTCCCGAGCAATCTGCATGAACGCATCGTTCGGAGGGGGGAAAGTAGCATTTTTGAAGACTTGGGAATGGACATGCCGTGACAGCATCTGGACGCCTAATTCATTCCGTTTGACTGGAACATGATTAAGAGCCAGCGTTCCGAGAACAGTGTGGGTCACTCACCATATGGCTCGTCTACCGCTACCTCTTCCTTGGCCTCCCCCTTGATGACGGGAGGCCTTGAACCCCTCCGAGTTTGCAGTATTGGCTTCTGCATCTGAACATGCGAGGGCGGCGACGTGTGAATCTGTTTTGTAGCATTGAGCCTCGAAGACCTGGTGTAGGCTCGGTAGAGCATCCTAAACCCAAGGCCAAGTCGCCGGGCGGATGAGCACCGTCACTGTGTGCGTCTATCCGATCACATTTACTTGATCACATCAACAAATCAGTTGAACATTTACCGTGTCCGACGATATCCTCGCGGCCAGAATCTATGACCATGACTGAGATATCACGCCCAACCGACGGCTCTCATCAATCACGATAACTTACAAGAGCCCATAACGTTTCAAGGGGTTTGTGATGAGTGGAAGATTTGCGACTTGCTCGCGTTCTCAAACCGGGTTCATAATTTTCAGACATGGTTTACAGTTCTCGGATAAGTGGACTTTCAGGTATATAAATTTATACAGAACCAGGCTAGGCATTGGAAAGGAAATATTGGGAAGTCCACAATTCTACGCACCTGCCGTAGCCCATCTTTGTCCTTCGAAAAGCACAGGATGATGTGTCTGAAGACATTCGATGCGAAGGTTCTGGCAGCCCGAACGGCGAGCTTATCAAGATAATCTCATAGAGGAGGGGAGACGATGAGAAGCTGGAAGGACTATTGCGGTCCCGGCTTTAAAATAAGTAGTATACTTCACTCACCAACTGAATCCATGAGCAACTCAGTACATACCTCACTGACACGAACCCGACCCGTTTACCGCTGATGCTCGACTCACTCGCTCCGGCCGTCTCGCACAAATTGAACGCCCGAGGGAGTTGTATAGGGTCATATAGGCAATGAGGAGCTTGGCGCGCGCTCTTTCACATTCATCCAATTGATCGGGGGCATGGATGGACCCGGCTTGCTCGGGTCGCCGTGCTGGTCGGTACAAAGGGCGTCCACGAGTATATATGCACCATCATGCCCACTAATATCTCCATCTCGCCTCTTCCCTTCTCCTCCCCACATAATCCGGAATTATGGTCAAGCTCAATATCCTCGCTGGCGGGGACATCGCCTTCATTGCTTCCTACCTCTTCGACAGCGTCGGCCAAACTTTGACATTGATCCAGCAGAACCCTTCAGGACAGAACCCTTCTTGGATTGAGAGATCCGTTGTCAATCCTTCCGTTCTCTAGTCAGTTGCACAGTTCTCCGGGATTCACCAACGTCGTTGACGCATGACTTGGATCCTTAGTGCTGTTAACGAAGTGGAAGCTGGCGCCGTTCAATCTTTTACCATCTTTGACAACGGTACTTTGAGTGGCGCGATCTCATCGATAAGTACTGGCGGAAACGGTCCCGCACACGTCTTCGCTTCGCCAGATGGGGAGGTGTCTGCTATGAACGTATGTCACCCAGACTCGGTCAGATCGACCTTGGCTAACGACTCTTGTATCAGTTCGGAGGAGGAAATGGGGTGATCGTGACCATGCAGAACAATGGGAGCATTTTCGGAACCTCTACTCCCATCACCTTCCCGGTCGTCGGCTCGAGTGGCGTCTCACACCCGCACGAAACGATACAGGTGGACAACGAGTTGCTTGTACCAGACCTAGTGAGTACAGATGACCCCACAAATCGTACAAAATCCCCAACGGTTCCTTCTTTCAGGGAGGTGACACCATCTGGAGGCTCGTCCCCGACCAAAGCGGAACCTTCTCGATAGGAGGAGAGATCACACAGCCTACCGGGAGTGGTCCGCGCCACGCCGCAGTTTTCGACAACTTTCTGGTCACCGTTCACGAGCTCTCAAGCACCATCACCTCACAACTCATCCCGCCCCTGGGTCAGAACAGCTCAGATCTCATCTCCAACCTTTCGATCGTTCCCGTGGATCAAGCTGCCCTACCAGGAGCCAGTTTCGCCGCTGCGGAGGTCCTGATCCCTCCACCGAACCAAGTCTTCAATTCTACATTGGTCTACGCCTCGAATCGGAACACAGGTACAGGCATTGATACAAGGGGAGACTCTATCGCCGTCCTCAGTCTCGCCTCGGATGGAACACTTCAGATTGTCAACCAATTCTTTACGGGCCTACAGCAAGTTCGGGGGATGCAATTCGGTGGACCGGATAACAGATTTCTTGTCGCGAGTGGTGTTGTCGGGAATGGGGGCGTCATGGTCTTTGAGAGGGTTGGGCAGGGAGATCAGTTCGTGCAGGTCGCCAACAACACGGACATTCCGAACCTTACTAGCTTTGTGTGGGTATAAGTATACAAACATCATCGGCTAGTTTCCCCAGATCTTGTCGTTGCATGCATCCGATCCGTCTCATCAAAATCCTCGTTAGCTCCCTAAGCACTTCGTATGAACCCCATACCCATCGCTGAGCGGCTTTCCTCGTTCGAGGCACATATCTCGGCGATTCCATCAAGGCACGCTTGACTGGAACTCAGGCTGCTGTTGCAAAACCGACAGTTTAGATATTTAGACCATACCTCTTCTAGACCCTCAACCTTCTCAAATGATTTATACGGTCCTCCGGCTTTGTGTTGGACGGGTGAGTCGTGACATGTGCCCCCTGCTGCCTGGCCCTACTATCCCGTTGTGCCTTCGTTTGCTCGCTGTAATGCGGCATTTTTCTTTGGCTTGCAACCCACTCACAATGCGACACCATGCATGAGTTTACTGCGGCTGATTTCTGCATGGTTCATTGCAAACGGGTACCCATATACCCATGCGGATAGTGATTTACTACGAATCCCACCGGTCGGCACCATGGTAGAAACTTGTTCATACGCTACAATATGTTGTTATATGAAGCCACTCGCCCAGCTGATATACACACGCTGCGTCAAATTTGCTTCCGTTCCCGCTGGCATCCCTTTTCTCGCGGGATTTATCTCAAATGCAGCAAGGGTTCTCCATCCAATTCGCTTGACTGTTACGCAGTTGCGTGTATCTCCTGGAGGAACTTATGCAGTGCTTGCGCCACATCTAGACTGTACTTTGGGGTCATCGTTAATTCCGAGCGAGGGGTAGCAGACGGCGATGTGTCAAAAAGCTGGTCAATACGAGTCTCGAACTCGCGACCTTGGCGTACACTACTGTGTATTAGCACCACGCTCTAACCAACTGAGCTAATCGACCATACCTTTCTGGCAGTTTTATTTATCAACACCAGTCTTCACTCCGCTGCCCCCTCCTGGCCGAGGGATGGGGACTAATTCCGTCACCCAAACGGAGAACCTCGAAGCAGTAGCAGTGGGTTAGTCTGAGGTGTTTATCATTTATGGCAGAAGTTTGAGCTGGAGGCCAAAGAAGGTCGTCTCCCCGGTCGCTCATCGAAAGGTCATCTCTTTTGCACCTTCATCCATGGATGATACATACTAGACACCCCACCAGGCCGGCCCACCGGTCTTGATTAACAGTCGGTCCGGAGGGTTAATTCATTATTCACCCGCAAGCAGTGGTTATATGTTCGTGTGGCCGTGACATGCAGATTGGCGAGCATACCGAAACGCCAGGGACGGATACGACCCCTCGCGGTATGGAGTCAATCCGTCAATATCTCTCTGCGAAATAGACGAAGACGAGATACACATGTTCGGAATCGAGAATACACAGTACATTGATTTGCTTTTCCATGGGGTACATTCGGGTAAAAATAGGTCTGGATAGAGTAGATACGTGAAAAGCTGAACGGTAGACTACATCTAAAAAAAGGGAACCTTCACTGGCGTGAGCGTCGCGTGTACATGTGCGGTTTTGCCAAACAACACAAGAAAGGGAAGGAAAAAGGAGGGCGGAACCGAGGGAAAAAAGGAGTGTATCCTCGCGGAGGGCTTCTGGCGAACTTGCCGCTACAAACTGAATCTGCTTTCCGGGAAGACGGGAGGTCTCTGGAGAGGAAGACGGAGGGTGTCCATATCCAGCTTTTGTGCGGACTGAGTAGGATACATGGAGGCGAAATACTGGGTGAAGGGACGGGTGCGGCTTGGCTCTTCGACGTAATTGCTGAAGAACAAGAATTGCACACACGCCATGGCGAGCCTGTCAGGGGATGGGATCAGTTCAAACAGAAAAACAATGTTGGGCTGGTGATGCGTTGCTTACGCGAGGACAACGGAAAGGCACAATAGGATCTGGGTCATGATCAAGGGTTTGTATGGCATATCGCTCAAAGCCTAATATTTTTCATGAGGAAGGTTCTGATAAGGGGATAATTGAGACATACGAGCGTATGTGCACTGTTTCCGTCAAGCAGGTGTCGAAGACCATTGCTGACACCTTTTTGTTGGTTTGAGGCGAGATCAACCCCGATTAAGAGGAGAAACGTTCCGGTGAACGTGCAAGAAAGGGCCTACGAATATTCCCGTCAGACGTTACCTACAAGTCGGAAAATGAAACGCACGATGCCTATTCGTTGCCTGAGCAAAGTTACCGCAAACCCAGCCACAGCACACACGACGATAAAGATCCAGTTCAAACCCGTCGGACGTAGGAGCAGTCCCTCTCGCATCAGGACAAGTCGCATTCCAACGGACATCCCACCCAGGATACTCAAAGCGGTCAGTCCCGCCAAACGACAGGACTTGAAAAGACCACCGAGCGATCCCAGCATGAAAGAGCCCAAAGTGATGAGCGTCAGAACCAGATCCGACAAACCCTCCGCGCCCATGACATTTACAATTGCAACCCAGACTACGACGAACGTCAGCCATGTTAACTCAATAACCAGGTGTCCACTGGCAGAGACAACTAACCGCAAAACGCGAGGACCAGCCCAATCGCCAACGCTGTCGTTGTTCTCCACAACCTCATCCCACCCAGGGTCAAAAACGACCCGACTACCAGTCCGAACGAAAGCCAAAGCACTGCCGGAGCGTCGAAACCGGAGCCCGCTCCATCAGAGGCGGATCCTGTACCTGTCCCGCTCTGATCCACGCTATTCACCGTGGTATTTGAGCCACCATCCGCCACAACGTCTTGAGTCGGCGCGTGGATAAAGCGATGGATCACGGTCAGGCCTCGGCCATGGTGTGTCGGTAAGGCTAAGGCAAAGCTGACCGTAAGCCAAAGAAACAGTGTGAGCCGAAGTGCGAAAGCGATGAGGAATCCCATCGTGTGGTGAGACAGAGGGGACTTTGGTTGGTGGTAGCCCACAAAAGTGGTTTGAATTTCTTCGGAATGTCAGAAGAGAAGCGGTTTCCAGGGGGTCACTGTTCGAAGCTGCCCTTCCCGAGCCCCTCAAAGAAGTATGAAGGTGTCCGTCAAGAAAAATGCACAAGGCGAAATCGAATCGGTTTCCCGAATGGTCGCAGGAAAGATTTACAATTCGAATGAGGGGCCCGCCTCGAAAAAAAGAGGGTCGAGAAATAAAACGGATGGAAAGAGGAGAAGAGATGGGGGAGTACGTGGCGTGCGAGGAGCACAAACCTTGCTTTTACTGGTCTCTTCCGTAACAATCCCTTGACAACGGTGGCAGGGAACACGTCGATTGGATACGATCGGGCGGAGACACCCATGATCCCGAGTAGACGGGCATAACAATTCAAATCGAGAACATGACCAAAGCCGATATGTTGGGGTGACAACGAGCGTGGAAAGCTGCCAGAACTCGTGCAGGCTTTGTATCTGTAGGGAACCAGAGGGCCGAGTAGGGGCTTTTGATCGTTGTCGTACAATGTTGACTTCCCGTGCTGATCGAGATCAGGGCCTGCATGCCAAAGCCAGAAACTTATCGATCATTGACCTGGGCAGCTTGAATAGGCCCTCGGTAATCCTGTTTAATCCATCCATGCATCAACCCTGGCGAGAGAGGTCAACAACCAGCTACACCAGCAAAGTATCATCAGGTACTCAAAACGACTATCGTGGTGGTGTTTTAAACCTCGTGTTCAGCTCGCCCAGGGTCTCGTCTTTCAATTGCCTGCTACCATCGCCCTTCTGGATGGCCGCCGAGAACAGCAATCCACGAGCATCAGGAGATGATTGATTGATGGTCCGGCGCATTCAGTCAACTAGGAATTAAACCAGCCGCAAACAAACCCGCTTGCTACCGGCCGATTGAAGCTCTCGCACCTCACCTCAAAGATGCCTTCCCCAGAGGCAGAGCTGCCCCCCCAGACAGAACCAGGTCCATTCAGCCCATCTTTCACACTCCCATCTCCAATGACTCTCCCACCCACATACCTCTCACGGCTCACACTCCGTACACAACTGCCATCCGATTTCGAGCACATAGCCGAAATCTTCAGCAACCCTACCACGATGAAACATCTCAGCGGGCTCGCCCCACCTGGCGGTTGGACCGAAGACCACATCCGAGGCGTTTGGCACCCAGAGGACATCGCGGCACGCGTTAAATCGCAAGAATTGGCGCGTGAGGAGGGCAAAGCCTTGGCCTTGGTCATCATTTGGACAGAAACTAATGAACTTATTGGTGTAACCGGCTTCGCGAGAATGGAGCCGCCTGGTACACCTGGCAGGAAGGCGGAACTGGGAATCATCACGGACGTCAGTCTGGTTTCGAGCCGTGGGTGGAAATCTCTGGGAACGGAGGCGTTGCATGCTGCCAGCGAGTACGCGTTTGGGGGATTGGACGGTGTTGAGGAAATTACACTCGTAACACAACAGAACAACGAAGAAATGAGAGGATGGTCGGAGAAGGTTGCTGGACTCACGCCGAAGTTGCAAGTCAAAGAATGGGGGCAGGTCGCATGGTATGGATATACTAGGGAGCAGTGGGGAACAACTGGAGGGGTCCGTGATCGATTGCAAGCAAGAATGGAAAGGTGGAAGTCGTGATTGACCTCAGTCTACCAAACTACTGTACATGAGCCGTAGTCAGTATCGAAGGGGTGCCCATTTATTCTGTTGAAGCGGTTTGCAAGGATTTCTTGTGCCGCCTCTTCCGTTTTTTCGACGAGTTTTCCCCTGCTCCAATCTCTGTTTGCACGGCCACGGATGGCTCCTCTCGTTTCCGCTTCTTCTCCTTCGCACCAACTTGTGACTCCTCTGGTTCCGGTCCGGCACCGGTATCCCCTGGCGCGGCAGTTGCAGTCTTCGCCCTCAGCCTCTCCTTCTTGCCTTTCCTCTTCTTCACCTGCACTTCTCCATCCTCGCCGTTCCCTCTAGCTGACTTGGCGTTCATTGCTTCCCTGAACTCTTTGAGCCTCTCCGGCCGACGTGTATCCCAGTTGGCACCTTTTCGATATGGAGCGTACTTCTTGATTCCCATGTACTGGTTGAGGACCTTGTCGTCGGCCATGAGAATCTCCGTGGCCGTCAACCCGAACGACTGTGGTGCGCAGTTGACATACTTGAACCTGGTGGGAATTCCACCAACCTACGTGGGTGAATGTTGAGAGACGTGGTGATCTTATTGAACCGAATAGCACTCACCACGTCGTCAAAGTCGAGCTCTAGCAGAGAATCCATGTACTCTTGAAGCTTCTTCTTTCTCATCTCTTCTGTGCCATCCCACCCCTCGTCGTCCCACTCCCCCTCTTCCTCGTAGGCTTCACCGCATTCGCCCATCCCGTGGTCTTCGTCTTCTTCGCCTGTGCTCTTCCCTTTCTTCTTGTCTTTTTTGCTTTTCTTTTCTTTCTTGGATGAGGAAGCCACTGGAGGCGCGATGTCACCAATGTCAATATCGTCATCCCATGTCGGCTTTTCTTCCTCGGAGAACGCTCCATCGTCATCTTGAGCATATATCCCCGCCATCTGCCGATCGTGTGATTCGGGGTCCCACTCTCCCTCTAGGTCCAAGTCTTGGAGGGCTAAAATTATAGGCGTTAGCGCCGGGGTGGAATGAAGTTCAGGTTTCGGCTTTACCTTGATGAGTGTTGATATCTTGCAGACCACCTTCCCTGCCGATCCGCTCAAGTTTCCGTCGAAGCTCTTTCATTTTGAGCGCTTTCAGTCGCTTGACTTCCTCGCGTTTTTGGAGGAGCTCTTCTTCTTTGCGAGCTTTTCGGCGCGCTCGGGCTTCCTTACGCGTCGTATCTTCACGACGGACGGTGGAGGCCAGGTTACGCGGGTAACGACCGATTTCTGCGGCATTCCTGAGGTAGGGTAAATACAGTAAATTCGCTGGCCACTCTCGGGAACTTTGAGAGGCGACGTACGGTTCCTCGAAGCGGAAG